GTGCACACACACATATCCATGCATACTCACACAAGCACACAAACCCCTGTGTATGCACACACTCATGGAAGCACACTCACGTACACCCTCAGCAAGGAAATGGTAGAGACACGCATGTGTGCAGAGCTGGGGAAGGAGGAGCAAGGGCTGGCTGTGTTCTACAAAGGCCCAGCCTGGGGATCTGGGTCGGGGAAGACCAGCTCCACCACTCGCTACTCAGTATCGTTGCTTAGTAACTTGATTTGAGGCCCAGTTTCTTTTTCTCTGAAAAGAGGATGACACTCTCTACTCAGAGGGGTTTTTCTTTCTGGAGGATAAATGTAGTGATAAACATTAAAGCTCCTTGTAAACTGCAGTGCCATTAAGAGTCGAGGAGTGTAGGAGCCGAGGAGAAGAGGAACGTACACACTGTGTACACTTATCGCAAGGGTGAAGAGTTACAGGAAGCTCCACAAAGAACGTGATCTGCCTGGAGTACATGCCCCGGCATGGGCCACTGTAGCCACGCGGACCTGGGGCTCTGGAAATAACTGTCCATTGTACAACAGCACAGGGTCCTAAAACAAGCGACATCCTGTCTTTATTTAAAATATCGGTACTCTGTTCATCGTCGAGTTTTTTCATTTTTGCATAAAAACGAATTTTAATTTCTTTCACATTGCAGTAAGATATTATTCATCGTGATTTGGTGCCCCTTAACTTTTGTGCAGGAGCTGGGTACCTCTGCCTGGGGAACTGCAGGTGACTGTCACCCCCATGCCACCTCTGATTTCAGTACATCCTCTGTGCAGCCCCATCCCTCTGCCTTTCCCCCTGCCTGCCCAGTCTGTAAAATAATAAATCCATTGTAAAGGGTTTAAAGAGGTAAGAAAGCTGGTCCATGACAGCAAGGACCTTACATTTTGGTTGCAAACAGTTGGAGCTACTGAGTTCTACAAGACAGGGCGGTGCAAACTGTCCTGGTCAATTTTGTAGGAAGACTTCTGGAGCTACAATCCTGCTCCCATCGTTCACCAGGGTGAACCTTCAGTGAAATAAAAATTTGGATTAGCACAAACAATGTAGAGGCCTCTTCAACAGAGAGAGATGGTGGCTCCTCTGGGGTGGGTCTCAGCTCGCAGCAATCCTGATAAACAGAACCCTCAGGGCTCAGAGCCCTCTCTCTGCAGTGAAGGGTTCAAATGACCTCAGTTGCTCCTAAAAATGCACTGGAGCTGGCAGTATTTTCTGGCCATTTGGGTCACTTCAGCACCAGACCTTAGAATGGATCTTGGGGGTGGTGGTGGGGTGGTGGTGGTGGTGGTGGTGGTGGGGTGTGTGTGTGTGTGTTACCACAATTTAAAAGGAAGGAAGGCAGACTACGTCTAGGTCATCTAAAACAAGAGGTCTGAGAAACCATCCCAGCCACAAGGAGCCCAAGGGAACATGGCAGCCAGATGTCATGTGGTGTCCAGAACTGGGTCCAGCAAGGACATGAGGTGAAACCAAGAAGATATGCAGAGGGTGCAGAGTTTAATACTAGTGTATCAGCACGGGTTCACGACTGCTCTGCTGATGTATGGGGACTCTTCTACCTTTGTAATTTTCTGTAAACCTAAAACTATAATACAACAAATGTTTTATTAAAACAAGCCTAGACAGGGTCTTAACAGCACAGTAAGATCAGGATCAGAAAGCGAAAGATGTCTCCTGAAGGTACCAAAGGTCAGAGTCACTTGGATTAAAGCTCATTTCCAAACTTTTCTGTAAACCTAAAACTATAATACAACAAATGTTTTATTAAAACAAGCCTGGACAGGGTCTTAACAGCACAGTAAGATCAGGATCAGAAAGAGAAAGATGTCTCCTGAAGGTACCAAAGGTCAGAGTCACTTGGATTAAAGCTCATTTCCAAACCTGCCCGAAGGGGTGCCCCCAAGTAGGATGGGATGGGGCAGCTGAACCACAGCATGCTGGAGCTCAGCGTCCAGGGCTCCGCATTCTCTCACCAGTGAACCTCAGCTCATTGGCACAGCCTGGGCTTTCTGGGCTGAAATAACCCACACCAGGATCCCCACAACTACAACACAGGACATTGGGAGGGAAGCCCAGTCCCCTTGGGAGGCTCTGGAATCCTTCTGGATGGGGGAACCGGGGACACCTCGGCCAGATACCACTGAGAAGCTGCCACCCAGGACATCCTCATTGGTTCACTGGCTTGTCCATGGAAGCCTGGACTCAGTTTACCCCCTGCCTCCTTTGCGTCATCCCAAAGCAGAAGAGCATAGAGCTGATAAGCCTCAAAAAGGAATTAAAAACAAATAGTAATTAAAGTAACACATAGCTTAGGCACATGAAGTTCCACAGCCACGTGGTCACTGCCCAACCTCTGGGCTCCGCCGTGTTCAAGTTTCTTTCTGGAAAACCTGGCCAGGGCAAGGGCCTTCAAACACTGAGATAAAAACATAGAAGGTCTTGCTAAAAGCACAACCTGCATGTTGGTGCACATGCGTGTGCACACACGCGCACACACACACACACTGCCAGGCCCAGCACACATGAGACGACAGCACCAGCCATGCAGGAGAGGCTGGACTGCCCTAGTGCTCCTCCACCAGGTGGAGATGATCCCGAGTGTGCACCTGTGTTCATACATGTATATATGTGGTGTGTGTGTGCATGCTTGTGTGTTGCATGTGTGTGGTGTGTGCACGTGTTTGTGTGTGCCTATGTTTGTGTATGTGTGTGCATGTGCCGGTGTGTTCATATGTGCACATGTATGTGTGTGCATATGTGTACACGTGTGTGGTATGTGTGCATTTTGCATGTGTGCATGTATATATGTGTCTGTGGTGAGTGTGGTATTTGTGTGCATGCTTATCTGTGCATTGTATGGTGTGTGTGCATGTTTATGCATGTGTGCTTATGTGTATGTGTGCATGTGTGTGCATGTATGTGCATATGTGTGTGTGTGCCCACACCACTCACAGGCTCCCCGCCCAGGGCAGACGTACTTATCATGTGCTTACCTCCCCATTTCTCATAACGATGGAGAGCAGAGCTCTTCACTGAAGTCTGTGGTTGTTCTGCGCCTGACTGGGTGGTTTCCTGTGACCCGCACCAAATGATGCTCTGGGGAAGCGGTCAGAGGCGGGGGCCAGAGTGTGATCCCCACCATCCAAGCCCGCAGGCCGTGCATTTTCACAGCAGCAGGATGGGGAAAAATGCCCAGCTCAGCCAGGAGCCTGTCAGGAGGCTTGTCCACAACCTAGCGGTCAGGGCAAACAGCCAAGACCACGCGCACACACACACACACACACTGCCAGGCCCAGCACACATGAGACGACAGCACCAGCCATGCAGGAGAGGCTGGACTGCCCTAGTGCTCCTCCACCAGGTGGAGATGATCCCGGGTGTGCACCTGTGTTCATACATGTATATATGTGGTGTGTGTGTGCATGCTTGTGTGTTGCATGTGTGTGGTGTGTGCACATGTTTGTGTGTGCCTATGTTTGTGTATGTGTGTGCATGTGCCGGTGTGTTCATATGTGCACATGTATGTGTGTGCATATGTGTACACGTGTGTGGTATGTGTGCATTTTGCATGTGTGCATGTATATATGTGTCTGTGGTGAGTGTGGTATTTGTGTGCATGCTTATCTGTGCATTGTATGGTGTGTGTGCATGTTTATGCATGTGTGCTTATGTGTATGTGTGCATGTGTGTGCATGTATGTGCATATGTGTGTGTGTGCCCACACCACTCACAGGCTCCCCGCCCAGGGCAGACGTACTTATCATGTGCTTACCTCCCCATTTCTCATAACGATGGAGAGCAGAGCTCTTCACTGAAGTCTGTGGTTGTTCTGCGCCTGACTGGGTGGTTTCCTGTGACCCGCACCAAATGATGCTCTGGGGAAGCGGTCAGAGGCGGGGGCCAGAGTGTGATCCCCACCATCCAAGCCCGCAGGCCGTGCATTTTCACAGCAGCAGGATGGGGAAAAATGCCCAGCTCAGCCAGGAGCCTGTCAGGAGGCTTGTCCACAACCTAGCGGTCAGGGCAAACAGCCAAGACCCACAGAACCCGTGTGGCGGCCCCTGGCCAGGCTCCCTCGTGAGAACCTGGTGTTGGGGCCTTGCTGCCTTGGTTTCCTGCAGCCCATTGCCTCCCTCCAGCTGCAGCTCTCTCAACACTAACTGAGGCTTTTCCTTTCTAACACCCTGATATGTGCTTGACCCCCACTCTAATTCTGCCTTCTGAAGCCTCTGAATGGTGAAACTCTTCTGTGCACTGCATGTGGGTTGAAGATGCTGCCACCAGCTGTGGCCACATCGTTCATCTGCTACGGACACCTTAATCAACTTCCCTCTAAATGAGAACTCGGCTCTTAGAGCACAATTTGGAATGCCAAGAAGTTGATGTATCCCATTCTGACTTCCTTTTTCAACACTATTTGATAATAATTTCCTTAGAAATTTCAAATCAATGCTTTCTGTCATGCCTCCTGGCATTCTTCTGTAAAGCAGAGCTTTCCTTTATCAGTGGAGGCTACTTGGCTACCCTGAAATATATTTCCTGTTGAAGGGGCAAGATTAATGATTATTAAGCTTCAGTGTTCTTCAGATAAGAAGCTGACTATTTGCTGTAGAGATAGTGAAAACAGAGGACTCTCTCTCTTTCTTTTGATGATGATTATAAATTCACAGATTTTCTCCATTGTAGAGATAAAGACAGAAAGCTAAGACATAGCTTCTTTTCTCAGTGTTATGTAGCTAATGAGTGGCAGAGCCAGGCTGAGACCTAGGCCAGTCTAATACCAAGACCAATGTCCTAACATCAGACCCTTCTCCTTCCCTGTGGCCTGTGCTTTTTTAAAGTTTCTAAATACTGAGTCTGAAAGTACAAATTCTTGCAGTTCACTTGGTTAATCCCAACCTGAGTTAGTGTCACCTCGGTGGACCGCTGCCTGTCCTGGGATTTTATTTTCTCCTAATCATCATCCTATCTTCCTTTTTTTCAAGGTCATATTCACTGGTAGAGAAGATAGATGCAAGTGGAAACTGAGACGCTGCCTTCGTCCACATCACATTTCTCATCTGAGCAGCGGCCTACCCTTTTCTCGTTCATCTTTTTTCTATGAACAGAGCTATTAATGCCTCAAATATAAGCCAGAGAACTAAAAGAACTTCCAGGTGAAATACACATTCTCTTCCTCCCTCTTCCAAAGAGTCCCGCTGCAAGTATGCCAGTGGTTTTGTGGATTTCCTAATCCCCAGAGCACCAGCTCTCTTCTCAGTTCTATTTAATTTGGGTTTGTATAATAACAAGTGGTGTTTTGGCTACTTGATCTTATCTACTTCTGTGTCTGTTTATATGACTGACTGTCTCCCGGGTCTGGGCAAGGAGAGAGGTGGACCTGATATTGGGAGTATTTTCCTGTTGAAATAAAATCACCTGAGTCACGAATAAGTAAATAGTTAATCAACTCATGTATTTGCGGGTTAAATAAAATTTCGTTGACTGGATATAAATCAATGATTTAGAACATTGGTGTTAGGGCCGGCCCGGTGGCGCACTGCTACAGTGCGCCGCTTGGGAAGCGCAGCGGCGCTCCTGCCGAGGGTTAGGATCGAAGGGAAAATTAAGACATTATCAGATGAAGGAAAACTAAGAGAATTTGCGACCAGCAGACCTACCCCAAAAGAAAGGCCAAAGGTTGTTCTTTAAATAGAAAGTAAACAATAACATCAGGAAGGATAAAAGAACACAGTAAGCAGGAATATGGGTAAATACAATAGACTTTTCTCTTGAGTTTTCTAAATAATATTTGACATTTGAAACACAAAATACAATACTGTTTGATGTGACTGTAATGTATGTATAGGAATATTTAAGACAATTATGTTATAAATGGAGAGGAATGTAAAGGAAGGTAAGATTTTTCTGCTTTATTCAAACTGGAAAAATTCTGTTTCCGATAGACTATGATAAGTTTTATACATATAAATATGTATGTAAATATAATATAATACCTAGGGCAACAATTAACAACTATACAGAGACACACTCAGAACCACAGATAAATCAAAATGAAATTCTAAAAAATGTTCAAGTGACTCACAAAAAGGCAGAAAAACAAAAATAGGGAAAAAAGAGGCAGAGAGAACAAATAGAAAACAAAAATAAGTGGTAATTACTTTAAACAGAAACGATCTAAATACACCAATGAAAAGACAGAGCCAGGTGAAGTGTGTTAAAAAGCATGTCACACGCATAGGTTGCCTGTAAGGCATTCACTTCTAATATAACAATACAGGCATGTTGAAAGTAAAAGAATGGAAAAGTATATCACACAAACATTGATCAAAAGAAAGCAGGAGTGCCTACATCAATATCAGATCAAATAGACTACAGAGTAAAGATAATTACCAGAGAGAGACGGGGACATTATACAATGAAAAAAGTCAATCCACCAAGAAGATACAGAAATTCTAAGTGTAAAGCTGCAATTTTAATTTTTAAGAAGATATTCAGCTGTGTTGAGATAGTCTTGCTTACGTTTTCCTGTTTTCCTGACCATTGCTTTTCTGCGGGCCAAGGATGTTGGGATGACTGCCTATTCTGGTAACATGAGTGCAAATTGTATTTTTTAGCAGAGCTACCATGTGACGAAATAAGTAAGTAAAATGCCACAGTGTGGAGAAGAGGGTGGCATGCGAGGCACTGTGGTGCTGTAGCCACCTCGCTGTGGTTGGCAGTGTGCCCAATGGCAGGGACTCAGACACCCAGGTCTCAGACAGCTCTGCCCCTGAGCCACCAGAGCAGCCAGAAGATACTAAACGGAAAACTTCAACTCTGCTGCCCCAAAACGTTATTCACAAACATTGAAATGTGAGTATCACACAGTATTACAAAATACTATTATTCTTTTGATTTTTCGCAACCATTTACAAAAGTAAAAACCATTTACCAAAACAGGCTGCTGGCCAGTTGGGACCCCTTGTCCAGAGTCACCCACCAGGACCAGCTAGGTCCTGAGGGTCCAGACTGCTGAGTTAAACAGAAGCATGACAGGGATGTTCCCCTGCTTCTTTAGACCCTCAAGGCAGCACTGGGTCCTGTTCACTCTCTTGGCCAGGCGTATGGCTTCAAGCTTCCTGGCTTTGCTTTTCTGTGGTCAATTTTATCCCACAGGCCAAGGATTTGATGAGATTTTTACATCAGTGTTCATGTGGGATGTTAGTCTACAGTAATCATGGCCAAGGATGGCCTGGAGTCTGACCACTCAGGTAAGATTCTTCTCCACCCCCAGAGCAGGCCAGGGCAGTCAGAGGAGGGCTGGGGACAGGGTTGGGGGCTTGTCATCTGCCCATTGTCCCAGGGTTGGTTTTCTTTACACATAACAGCCCGATGTGTGGCTGCCCAGTGTTGCTCTCCTTAAAATCCATCCCTGGCTCTCATCCCCTTCAGAGCCAGTCCCAAGTGCCTGGTCGGCTTTTAGGACACTCTGTGGCCTGTCCCCTGCAGAACCTTTCATCCCCCGCCACACACACTTTTCACTATGCACATCGAACCATCCAGTTTGCCACAGAGACCAGCACACCCGCATGCCTTTGCGCGTGCTATGTCCCCTCTGGCTCCCAGGATGGGTCAGACACAGATCCCGCCCTACAGCCTGGAGGTACAGCTGGAAGATGAGATAGGGACTCAGCTCTCTATAGCACAGAGTCTCTGGCTCACAGGTGCACAGGAAGCCGCACTGCACAGGGCACGTCCACTGGCTGCTGGGGTATCAGGAGCGGCTTCTGAAGGAGGTGGCTCTAGCTGGGCCCATGCATGGGCATGACCACAGGAGATGGAGAGGAGGCATTCGGGACAGGGGAGGCTGGAGTGACGGGAGTACACAGGACAAAGGTGGGAGCAAGGCTGGGAGTGGGGGTGTGCCACCCCCTGGTTTCCAGGACAAGCCCTGCGGGGTGCCTGTTGCTCTGGGTCCAAATTTACATGCCCACAGCTCCAGTGATTTTCTCTTCCATCCTGTGAGCTTCAGGCCTCAGCCAGCCTGCTGGGCTGGCAGCTGCCTCTCATGCCCCTCCCTAATCCAAGGGCTTTGGGTTTTGTCCTGAGGAGCAGGGGATCTGCTGGAGGGTCCAGGTGGGGCAGGACCCACTCCCTAGACAAGTAGCCTCTGGCTGCAAGTGCACAGCAGGCACGGGGTAGGAGGGTGGGAGCCAGGAGCCCTGAAGAGGAGGAGGATGCTGGTTCATCCCTGAAGGAGGAAACAGTGTGAACTGGGCTGGGTGGGGTGGGGTGCAAGGGAACGAAAAGAGAGCAGTAAGAGGAGGGAGTGGATGGGGAGGGGAGGGAGGAGAGGGAGGGAGTCAGGGGGGAGATGGTCACCTGAAGGCAGCCCCTGCAGGACTGACTGAGGGAGTGGCGGTTGGGAAAGGAGAGAAAGGAATCAAGAACAGATGGTAGATTTTTGTCTTGGAGAGCTGGGAGCACAGCTGCTTTTTGCTGACATGAAGGAGGCAGGGAAGAGACAGATTTGAGAGCAAAACTGAGTCCCCTTTTGGACCTTTTATGTCCAACATGCTTCATTAGAAAGCTCTGTCCTTTCCCCAAAGGCATCAAAAGTCGTTCAGAAACATTATTTTTAAAGCAATATGACACCTATTGTTCAGTTTGTCCTGATTTTCAGATCCTCTCCATCCCTGCCCTGCATTCCTGGCTCCTGAGCCCTGCCTTGCTCCGTGACTTGTCTCTGCTGAATGCCTAGCTCACTGATCTTCTTTTTCAAGCAGGGCTTTTGTGTGTCTCATTCCTGCTGTTTCTACAGCTTAGTTCCGTGCTGACACACAGTGGGGGCTCAGTAGATAGTGAAGGAACAACTACAGTCAATGCCTGGGACATCGTGTGTGTGTGTGTGTGTGTGTGTGTGTGTGTGTGTGTGTGTGTGGTTTCCTTGTTGAGTGAGCATATGTGCCCTCCAGATCCTCAGGGACTTGGATGGGCCATAGCTGTATCCTGCTCCCTTGTACAGGACTGGCACATAGTAAGGGCTCAATGAGCACTTTGATGGAATGAATGTGCAGTGACTGTGCATAACACAAGGAGCCAATGATGGCTGCCACCTGCAAAGGACACGCAGTCTATTTTAAGGTTACATTTTCGTCTTAATAGATTATTATAGGATTGGTCCAGCTTATTATTGCTGTGTAACAAACTATCCCAGAACTTAATAGTGGCTTAAAAACAACTCATTACTTCCTCTCATGGTTCTGTGGATTGCCTGGGATTGGTGGGTGGTTCTTGCTTAGAGTTTCTCCTGGTGTGTGGCCAGATGCACTTAATGGTGGCTCACTTGCTGGTGGGTGGGGGGCATATAGCTGCTCAGCTGGGGCTCAGCTGGGCTGTCCACCACACAGTGTATACGTGGCCTCTCCATGCGACTTGGCCTTCTCCCAGCAGAGCCTGGGGTTCCAGGGACCATCCCAAGGGTGAGAGCTCTGAGATAGAGAAAGCAGAAGCTGCCAGTCCCCTTAAAAGGTAGGACCCCCACTGGTCCAGTGTCAAGTCTGCCATTCCCTATTGGCCAAAGAAGTCACAAGCCAGCCCTGCAGGTGGGTGGAGGGACAGATGCTACATCTTGGGGGAGTTACCACGTGTATCTGAGGAGGGACAGAGTGGATGTTGGCCCTTGACAAAGAGTCTTGCTTCACCAGCTTCTGCCAGTCTCCTGAACCTCCTAGGCACCCCTGTGGACCTCCTTGTAAGTTCCAGATTTAGCAGAGAACCTGCCAAGTCAGTTTAGCAAGAACCCCACTTCTACCCCTTCTTTCACTCCTCCCATATTCTACCAATCAAGTCCACATGAAACCTGAAGATTCAATCTTGGCATTTCCCTGTTTGAAGAGGAACGTCAATGAAGCAGAAACTCTAAGAAACCCATGTACAGAACTCCTTGCCTAGTTGGCTTGCAGAAACCAGTGAAGAAAAGTGAAAGTTCAGGTCCATCAAACACACACAAACATACATACACACAGAGACCACAGAAACTCTAAAAACAAATAACTAAAGATTTGATAGATGCATAGATGAATTGACAGAATCTGGCTGTTTCTGGGCAAATAGTTATCAGACACTGCCAGTGTAAATTGGCATAAGGATTGTGGAGTGTACCTACCCTATGACCCTTCTATTTTATTTCATGATACACACTAGGTCAATTTTCCCAACTGTGTAATACACAATCCATCTAAACTCATAAATTAGCCTAAGGATGTGAAAAAGCCACCTTTTAATGGCTTGGAGGAGAGTTACCATATTCATTTCTTGTCAAAAAATTTAACGTAAAATAGAGATATAGTTTTTTTGTACTTTAAAATGCATATTAAAAAAAATAGATGTGGTGGCAAAAGCTGCAGTGGTGCCCTTCAGATGGAGTTACTTGGAGGCAGAAAGGGAGAAGAGG